AAGCATGAAATCTAATAAATAATCTATTCATTGTCCCAGATATCAGTAACAGGAAATTAAAGAAATTCATTCGGAGCTTTTTCTGCGAAACTAGTCTAACGGATTCTTCTCTAAATGAACAGCACAACTCATACAGGTCGATTAACAGCTACAATTGATTATCAAAAACATAACAAGACTGCTCGTATCAGGGCGAGGCCCTGAATGTTCCGACTGCCTTTTCAGGTCTGTTGAGCAGTAATAATATGAAAAAATTTAATGTAATACAAAGGTGTAGTTTTTTTATTTTGAGTTTTTTCGTGAAACTCATCCCACCACACGCCATACTAAGTACAAAGAGATAGATTTCAATCTTAGTAACAATTCAAATTTGGCAAAAAAGCTTCCTCCAAATAATTTGGAACAATTTCTAAGACGGATTAAATCTCCACTTACGCGTTAATAGCGAGAAATATATCGCGCATTAATTGTCCCAAATTGGCCAAAATGGCAATCTTCAAACCCCCATAACTTTACAAAAATTGATCACAGGTGAAATATCTTATAAAATTTTTAGCTCAAGACAACAAAACCTTTCGAATGATGTAAGAAAATTCCGTCAAAAATGTCTAGTTAAAAAGTCGAATTTTGTCTAAAAAAACCACCCCGAGCACAAATCTTCCGTTACTTTCGTCACGAAAGTCGGAACACTAACAAAAATATGAAATTGTTAGTTCACAAAAAATAGTAATTTATCAAGGAGATCCAGTTACTGTGCAAGTAGCACAGAATGTTCCGACCATAGTTTTTAAAAACAACATGAAAAAAAAGAAATTTTCAAATGAGTGTAATTTTTTCTGCGTGATGTGATATAAGACAAAAAATCAAAAATTTTAAACCGGTTTTTCTCAACACTGGGAAAAGTTTTTTGAAATTTTTGAAAGGGGTTCGACTCACGATTGTAAGGGCTTTAATATGAAATATCACTCAATCTAATAGTCCTTTGTTATTTCAAAAGAAGAACATGAAAAGTTGCAATATCAGGTGATTGCTGGAAATGCTTATTTTATAAGCCGCTAGTAAAAAAAACTAAGGAAACGGAAATTCTTTTGAGAATCTTAGTAAAATCTTCCATGATTTCGATTTCTTCCAAAACACCCAGTTGAGGTCCTGCAAAATGCTTGTAAGAATTTTCACATTTCTGATTTGTAACAATTTTATAAACTTTTGAATTGGTTCTTCCGATTTCAACCCTTCGCGATGCGGGATTATATAAAATAGTGCAAGCAAAAAAATCCGGGTAATCGGATTCATTTTTGAGAGATTAATAATTGAAAACAAGCCTAGTTGATTGCTTTGCCAGTAGCCCAAAAACTTTCGACAACGAAAATCGCTGATTTGTTCAAATATTGTTCATTTGTTGGAATCTGTTTGGTGCGTAGGGAGCTCTTAAGTTTCTTGATAAAATTTGTGCTAGTCCATAATAGGTTTTACGATTAAGCATCAAAGCATTTTCAAATATTCAAATATCTAAAACAAAACTATACTTAGCCCTTTCAGTAATTTTTTTAACCTCAGATAGGTATGCCAATCTCAAGTTGATACTTTTTATTGAACATCAATTCGAGCCCGGGTTGAAGTTGCATTGCAATTCAGAAAAGTATCATGATGTAGAAAATATATAGAATTCCGATTTCAATCTTACAAGATGTGAGATTATAAAAAAATGTTCATTGTTATTGCACTGTTTTGTTAGGGATGATAGATCAGGGTAATTTGCATCCATGTTTCATTGATGAATCAGAAAATTGACATCCATGTTTCAGCCATGATTCATGGATGAAACATCATTTCAATTTTCATCCGAGTTTCATAGCTGAAACATGTACAAACATCACTAAAGTGTTTCTGCAAAATGAATGAAATATAGATGCAAAAAAAACGAAAGATCTCTGATACATTTCTGAATTGCAATACAATTTCAACCCGGGAGATACTTAAAATAATCGAGTTAATCCTCAAACACAGTTCAGGTGCAAATTTAACTCGTACCTAGTATAAGCGCAAGGTAGCGAAGCAGAGTATGCGATAGTAATTTTCCAATTCGTGTGATTTTCTCTTAAAAAAATTAGCTTTAAATGTTAATTGGCTGAAACATATCTCTGCATTGTCTCAATAATTTTGGCAAAACTTTCTTAACTTCAGATCGGCCTCTGAATGTCTATCCGTGCCAAAATTTCCAGTGTCTCGCCAATCATTTATTCGCAAAAAATTAATGCTGAAAATTGAAAACTTCACACTAATTGCATCGACACCAGTCTTTGTGTTGTTTCGGTCGACTTTTTTTGCTTCAGTTCAAAAATTTTAACAAGATTGCTCGTTTGAACCCATACTACCTATTTCCACGAAGCATTTGGTCGGAATCTTATTGGAGTTGGTTTGAAGTAAATTGCTTGCTCGTCAGAAAAACTCGACATTTTGAAATCAAAAATAAATTGCAAGGATGGAATAAGATCTTCAACCGCCGAAAACTTTTTAACACTTTGATCAAATTATTGCTTTAATTTAATGAAAAACTCTTGAACAAAAAATCGGGTTAAAAATAAATTTGAGAATTTGTTCGAAACACTTTTTCAAAGAATAACTTCAAAGTTTTCTAGTGTGAACTTCGATTAAGTTTCTAGGATATAAATAACATTAGGGCTTGAAAAGAAAAATTTGTAAATCAAAGAACAAGCCAAACAGAAAAACTTCCAGTTAAAGACATTTCAGTTTGCGTATAACGAATTTAATCAACTAGAAATCAAAACAAAAAAAAACATATTTTGTGCGCATCAATTAACAGGAGAACGTTCTCTTATTTTTGGCGCAGATCAGCCCAAATATCCAGCTTTTTTGCAGAACATATCCAAATTTTTTTGACATTTGATTCAAATTTTATTCAAAATTCCGACAAAAATAAAGTAGAAAATGGGAAAAATCTTTTTTTTTCTAATAGAATTGCTAATGTAGTTATCATATACGTGCTCTCATGAAGAAAAAAATTTCATAAATTTTCACTAAATTCTTCAAAATGTTCGGGAAATTGTGGAGCCTGTTGTAACTACTGGTTTGGCAGAAAAAGTCATCTCTGTGTTGAACATGCTCTAAATGGTTTTTTGAAACCAGGGGCGGATCTAGGATTTTCACGAGGGGCGGCGAATTTTAAAAAAAATTGAAAATTTTGACGACCTTTTTTTTAAGTCGACCAAATTGATTTTCCGAGCTCTCCTTAAGCACTAAAAAGACGGTGTTTTGGCCAAATTTTCTGCGCCGCAAATTTTTGATGAACAAACAGATCAAAAAAGCCGTTTTTGGGCACTTTTTGAAAGCTTCTTTTTAAAATTTTCTTAAGTTTTAACCATCAATTTAAGCTTCATCTTCTGGAAAGGTTTCAAAAAAGTGTGAACAGATTTAGTCGGCGGATGCGCCTGTCAGACCTTCGAACCCTTGACCACCGAAAAGGCCCCCTTTTGGTAGTATTTGACGAAATCCTCTTTTGGTTGACCAACCCAAACCTTGGCACTAGCGGCGCCTTCGTCGCCAAATATTCATCAAAATTTGTGGGGTCAAAATATTTTTAGAAAAGGGTCTAAGAAATTTTTTTTCAAATTTTTGCCATCGGCGTGGAAAATTTTTGCAAATAAGGTCTTTATAGAGTTTTGCAAATACTTGGAAGACACTTTTACCTAGCTTAAAAAACGGTCGACAAAACTGCTGAACTTTTTTGGAACCCCCTTTTTTTAGAATATCCTGGATGGCCTGTGTGGAGGTCATTCAAAACTTGAAGTTTTTACTATTAACATTGTAAGGCACTTTTCTTGTTTGAGTTTTTTTTTTGATGTGGACTACCACATAATAGAAACAGAGATCATACTTTTGAACTACATAGTTCCGAGAAATCATTAAAATAACATTCAATTCTAAAACCGTTTTAAATGATTTTTCACTTTAAAAACGCTCGCTAACCCTGTCAAAAAAATGCTGATCCATGAATTGATTAATATGAATCGCATGGACTTCCAGAAATCCAGATTCGTCATTTTTTAAGTTTCAATTGTTTTCAAGTAAAAACAGAGAATTGCCCGGACCAAATCAATATTAACCGCCAACAATCAGGGAGTGCCCAAAAAACGACTGAGTTAGCATATTGAGCTCCGCTCAGCTGTACAAATTGCGCAAAAAAAGAACGATAAATTGATTTCATTTACACTGTTCGTTATGCTTTTAACTGAGAATCTCTTTTTCGTAAAAACTGTACGGCTTGTTAGAACTTACAGGATAACATCTCAAGATTTCACTTTCAGTTTCTTCTAATGCGGTACACCTTAAGAGTCCTGATCAAAGACCAAGTCTTCTGCTGGTATATTCATGGTGAGACTTTTGGACAAAAGTTATCGTCAAATTTCATACTGTCACCACATAAAATTAGTTTCTAATGATTGTATAAACGTTATTTTCACGCGTTGTTTTGAAGTCTATCGCTATTTCTGGAACTGATTTTACTAAAACATATTTTTTATATTGATTGAAACTTTGCTAGCTTGTGAGCTAAAAAAAAGTTTTCTTTTAAAAAAAAAATTTTTTTTCTAGGATTAAATGAATGCTCGCTGCCGTAATTTTCAATCTATGAAAAAGACGAAAACAACCCTCAGTTTAGTTGACTGAAAAAAAAACTAGGAGCAAAAACCTAAAAATGGAGCTCGTTTTTCGGTGCATAAACAAGTCCAATAAGACTAAAAATTTTAAAATACCAAAAACTATATTATGCATAGAATTTATCAAGGAGTTTTCCTGTTTTTTTTTGGTTGTTGGCAGCCGAAATATAAGTATTCTTAGTTTATTTATAGCCTGAAGAACGACTCCAGGGACATAAGCTAATCTCTGCTATGTCTTTCAGCGCCTATGGTGCCTCACCTAGAAACATGTCGAATAAAAGAAGGCAAGTCGAATAGCCAATTAAGGGCTTAATTGGGACTTACCTGTTTTTTGGCAGACGACCAGAGGCGAACAGCAGAGCAGGAGAAGAAGGAGGAGGAGAAAATGGGAGGGAGAAGTGATGATCTCCACGTGAAATCTCTTCTTCATCATCTTCTTCTCTTGTTTGCGTTCACGCGTGTTGAGAAGGAAGTATAAGTGAAAGAAAAGTAAACTGATGATGCAATTTTGGAGTGTTACGTAACAGGTTACACAATCAGCAAAACATACCAACAAAAACCCGAAAATGAGAGCAGGGCAAGCGAACAATCAGTCATTGTTAAACAAATTTAGAGAAAAGATCATTTAACAAACTAAAAATAAAGATATCCATCCAATACAATGAACTGACGGGCGATATAATTGTGGTCGAAAAAAGGGAAAATAATAAGGTCAAATATTCTATTGGGCTAGCAGTCTTTTTGTTTTTATTTACCCTGTTTTTCATGCCATATAACTTGAGAATAAAGTGGTGAAAATATTATTCATAAGTGGGTAACGAATAATAAATGATGAATAAAAAAATTGAAAATGCGATAAATGTGAACTATATTGAATATTTTGGGAGGTGAGTTTAAAACAATAGAGTCATTCGATGTATATAACAGTGAATTGATTTTGAAATAGCCGAGCTGGAAGCCAAGTTTTGACATCAACAGTCAGTCAATTGTTGTTTTCCTTCCCACTATCAATTTTTCCTAAAACAGAGCACTTCTTTGTATTTTTTATATTTTCTTTATATTTTTTCAAAAATTACGATTTAACTTTCATTTTAGTCAGCAAAACTTAAGCACAGTTGTCGAATAAAATTTTTAAAACGTTTTTCAAAGAACAATTTTCACAGAAAAAAGTTTTTTGATCAGTTTTGAATTGACAGAGGATTTGGCAAATCAATCATTTAAAATTAAATGAAAACATCCGTAGCAAGTTGAGGTAAAAAACAGGTCGGTATCTGGGTTTGCACGTCAAAGGTTTTATTACATATAAATTAGGTAAGCTTTATATGTTTGACTGTGAAATTATGGTAAAAAGTGAAAAGAAGCTGCGCGACAATACGCAGACAAAAAGAATAGGGTTTTAATATAATAGAGCTGCGCAAATTGTTCAACAATGAGTAGTTGTTTTAAACAGTGAATTTAATTCAAGTACGCCTGTTTTAGTTCGATGGTGTCTGTAGCACACAGGGCAGGGCGTTCGGTAGAGGGTTGCTTGGTAAAATCAGAATAATATCCCAAGCTTGGATAAAAGAATGAAGTTGCGCATGGTATAGTGTATGGTAATAATGATGGATAGTAGGTGGTTTGATTCAGTAGAAAGAGAGAGGGATACTTATACTTTGTATAAGAAGTGTATAGGGGGTGGCATGATTTTGACGGGTACTAGTTGACGGGTACTAGAAGGGCTCTGCAGGGCTGCATGTGCGAGAATATGGAAAAGCCCTTACTGCTGTCGAATATTAATGAGATCAATCGTGAATAAATTGCATTAACTGCTTTTCAAGTCTGCTTTAAAAAAAAGGAACTCAATGATACTGCTACCGGCACCATATAGCTATACTACTCACACTTAAGTTGAATATATTCATCAAACAGCTATTATACTCCCATATTCGATGGACCAAATAGAAAAGATAGGTGAAATATGCTTGATAAAAAAGTGATAAAAATTCTAATTTGTCCAAATTTACCTTTGCAAAAGAAGAAACAAAAAGGATGAAGATCAGCAATAGAAATTCATAAAATGCAGTAATCAGAGCTAAATGGTCGCGGATGATGATTTGAAAACAGGTACTTCAGAAAAGACTTAACTTTAACTCATCAAATATGAGAAATAAAGAATAAATCGTCATTATACCGAAATGTGTTATATTTCCACTTCTCTCAAAATAAGCTGTAATGACTTTAGTTACCTGTGAGAGAAGATAGATGCAATTTTTCAGTTGGTTGAATAATGAACACATCGATTATTTTTTACTCAACCGCTGTTCCATTTCTGACTTCAGTTCTTCAGTGCATCTTGTGTCTGAAACGAATTCCACTTTTTCAGCTAATGTCGGATTAGTCCGCGCTAAATCTCGGTTTATAACGGACGTATAATGAAAACTACTCCATAAAATGACCTAAGTTCAATTCCACCACGTAAACTGTAATCACAACAAAGCGCGGAAAAACATCCGAAATTTGATATTTCCTGCTGGATATTTGTTTTTATAGGATTAAATGAATGCTCGCTGCCGTATTTTTCAATCTGTGAAAAAGACGAAAACAACCTTGTTTGGTTGACTGAAAAAAACTAGGAATAAAAACCTAAAAAAAAGAGTTCGTTTTTCGGTGCATGAACAAGTCCAATAAGACTAAAAAATTGAGAATTTTGGGCAAAAAGTCTAAAATATTGTAGCCAACTCACCAGCGGAAAAAACTTTAAAAAATGTCGAATTTCTAAAAATTAATTGTTGTTTTCAAATTGACACGAATGGCTGATCAAAATTAATTTAAATGAAAGCTTCATTCAGGTTTAATTTTGTTCTAAACTATTTCTTTTTCAATTCAGGCTAATATATTCTCATTTTTTTGAGTATAAACAAGAAACACATAAAAATAAACTAAAACAAACATAGCCGGTTCTTGTGCAAGTAGCGCAAAATGTTTCGACCATATTCGTAAAAACTGCTGAAAAAGTTTTACAAGAAAGCAAAAAAAAAGTGAAAAGAAAACGAGAAAGTTTTCTTCAGCAGAAAACCTTTAATGCCAAAGGAGCGCTAATCGAAACTTGCAAAACTGGAATTCTTTAGGTGAAACAAGTCTTTTGTACCCTAAACAGCGAACTTAAGTTTTCATGTAAGGAGCGTTACTTTATTGCTTTCTAGTTCGAATATGAAATCGAAAAACAACTTTTCTCAACAATGGAAATAATCTTAAAAAATGTTTTAACTTCATTCGATTGACGACTGAAAAAAGGTCATTTCGATATATAATTTGACTCATTCCGATGATTATTTGTATACCTCGTTTTGCATGGAAACCAAAAAAAAAGAAAAACTAAAACATACCCGAATAAAAAGTTTCACTCCAATTTCAATGGTCAGAACAATACTTAAAATGAGAAAAAAATACTGGAATTTTTCCCGGAAAAACTGTAATAAAAGATTTTTGCAAAATCAAAGGGAAGAAATAACTAATTATTCATATTTGCTTATTTCCAATCAAAAAGAATTCAAGACTCAGAAAGCAAAACATTTAGCTGGAAGAACTTGCAAATAAAAACTTTCATTCTTTATTTGATTAAAAACAAAATCTTTTTTTTTTTCAGTTTTTTTATTAAAAAATTGAAAATAAATAGTAAGCAAAGTATTTAAAAACAAAACAGAATCAGCCAAATGAAAACTTCAAGCAGAATGTCACGCCTATTCAAGCACAATATCAAACTTAACGACAACTTTGTTAACAAAATAAAGACACCGGTGTGATTTCATTTAAATTCAACGATTAGTAATACTCTTGAATATTTAAGAATTACGCCAATCCAATCACCACCTCTCTTAACTACTTCATCCAAAAACTCATGTTAATTTCTGGAGACTATAAGAAAAAACGAATATGAAAAGATAATTGCAACTGCATAAGGAGAGTCAAAAAACTTATAAAACAGTCAAGCAAGGTTTCATAAAGGTGACATTCCGATAATAACTTTTCTTCTGACACAATTAAATCATTGCCGCTTAAGCAGCGAAGATTCCCAAAAGCGGCTTTCTCGATTGGGCACTCAACTTCAGAGTTGATAGGGTAGATTTTGAGAAGTGCAGTCAATAAATCATAAAATTTTTCGAAAACAGTCAAATTTGCAAAATTTGGAATTTACTCAAATTTTCAAAATTTGGGTTCTTGTGGAAAAAATATTGAGCTTACGCGCTGACGCAGAGGAGCTTCCTAAGGCCATTAGTTTCATTGAACTCAAAATCTCACATTTGAGAGATTGATTTATGAGAATACGAAAAATATCCAAGTTTATGGGTCAAATATTCCTTTGACTTAATACATAGACTTTTTCGAAGGATGTCGACAATGTGGCGAGCTAAAAAGAGACTGATTGTTCATGCAAGCACACATGGGAGTAGGCTGTTAGTCAACGAAAACATGTTTTCGGATACCTGTTTTTCGGTTTGGAAATTTAAAACTTTTAAAAAAAGTGAAATAATTTTTCAGTGCGATTTAAAAAACTCAGTTATGTGAAAAAACACAGTTTCACATAATTTTAGGCAGAGGTGAAGCCAAACTTCGCATCACTGCGATACACAAACGAATGACTATGATTACCGGAAATGAAAAGAGAAATCAAAAACTGAAGTTTAAAAAATCATGAAAATTGCAAAAAAGGACAAAAATTCCTGAAACAAAAAAAATTGTATAACAGGAATTTTTACAAAAAACTTTCACAATGCTAAAAAGCAATCAAACCTTTTTGCGGGACTTAAACGGACAAAGTTTAGCAGACACGAAATTTTCAGTTTCAATGTTCAGTTTCGATGAAAAAACAGGTCCCGACCGAAATCGAAATTCTGAGATTTTTCGTGTCAAGCATTGATGGTACCACTGCACTAAATGTACAGAACATTCCTCGATTTTATAAAGACAACAATTTCAAAAACTTATGTGAACAGAAGGAAAAAAATTTTAAAAAGCAAAATATTTTGGAACTCAATTACTTGCCCAAAACAAAACTCAAAAACCTGCGGTTTGGTATTCCAGTTTGATAAAAAAATAAACTTTTGAGTAAAAAATGTCCAAATTTTAGGCAATTTTGGTGCTGCAGTAACTATGCGGATAAAAAAGCAGACTAACAAAAGTTTTTCGACGCGCGGACAACTTTCAGTTTACAAAAAATCAGGTCCTGGCCGGATTTATACCATTGACCTTTGTTTTTATAGGCAGGTGATGTGTTGATTTTTAGTCACATGCGCAAGTTTTTGTCTAACTTTTGATTTTGTTTGAATCACAGTTAAAGTTTTCAAGTGATTCTATTGAACTTGTAGGTAACCAGAAAAAAATATATTCTGATTTGATAGCGCTTGCTAACCGCAAGCGTATAAAGTTGTCCCGGTGTCAAAAAAACCGGTTTGAAATTTTAGTTACAATCTAATTTTGAGCGAGTAAAGCAAGCGAGCAGGCTTATTATAGAAAGATGAGCAATGAAAATTTTAATCTAGCTTAAGTCGACAACGATTAAACCGAAAAAACCTCAGCAGAAAATTAATATCAAAATTACAAAATTATACATACAATAGTATGAGTTCTAGATACAGCATGCAGTAGCAACTAGTATCCTTGCATGCGATAGTTAAAGTTGATTTTTCTTGAAATTGAGCTTGTCATCCTCATAAGTGATTCAATTGATTTTGTTAAACTAGTTGTTTACTCAAAAAAGTCTATATTCCGGTTGGACAGCGCTGACTAAATCGCAAGCGTAAAAAAACCTGTTTTATTTTAAAAAAATTTCAGAAAAACATACCAAATTAGACAAGTGAATTTTAAAAAAGCAACGGACCAGCAACATTGAAATAGCCTAGGACCAACAATTTGAATGCTAAAACAGCAACGGACCTGTGAAACTACAATGAACAAAGTTTGCTTACAGCATGCGAAAATTCAGTGATGTGGCAATTTAAATTTAAATTTTCCGAAAAAGACTCACAACTTTCCGAAATTTTTTTATACATACTTAAAAAACGAGACTCGAACCCCAGACTTTGGAGTGAAAAAACTATCGCGTTACCTGGAAGTTCATAAGGTTGACTATTGAAGCAGGAGCAACTTCTTGTATGAAAAGTTGCGTACAAAAAAAAGTCTATTTTCCGATTGCAAGACACTTGCTCTCATAAATGTATTTGTTTGAAATAATTTTGGTCAATTTAATTCCGATACCGTATATGAGTTTCAAACTCATGAAAGTTTCATGTTTCAATTTTTTTCTAGTAATTCAACAGCAATTTGAACAAAAACACCTGTGTAATTTTAGCCTTTGATTTGGTTTTTTCTACGATGTTTGAAGAGTTTGAAAACTTTCTAAAACAAAAGTAATCAAAACAATCGTCATGAAGTTTGTTTCGGGTTTTTTGTTCTAATGTTCCCCAGTATTATGGTAGCTAGCTCTCATAAAAAAAACATGCAAAGAAAATCTCACACACGCACTTCTTCTCAACAACAAACGCTGCTTACATCCAAATTTCAGATCACATTTATAAAATTGTTTTCGGTAGACGAGTAACAACAGAGCTGTCTCGGGTTTCAACTTTATAATACCATCTTGTTTCAAGCGAGCTCTCGTTGTTAGACCAATTACAAAAGTTATTTGAACATTAGATTCTCGTTCAGCTTGTTCGAAAACCGACAAAAGTATAGCGCATAGGAAAGTATTTACAAAAAAAAAACAGTTTTAGTGAGAATAGGATGCAGGGATTCCTGAGAATGATGGAAGCTCGAAAAAATTGTTTTTGCGGCTTTGAGTCAGTGATTTTCCAGAGGATATTAAAAATTCGTCAAAGTTTTGTCAATCCAAGTTAATCCAGAACACCAAATCTCATTTAAAAAGTTATTTAAGCTGACCCGGACTAAATATCAACCCTATTTTGAACCAGTTAAAGTGCAACACATTAGATTTTGAATTGCGTAAAAGCTCCGAATGATTCTTTTTTTACTGTCACGATTAGCAAAAAAAAACATATAGGGTCTTTTCCTAGAAAAATTCTTTCGATTTTAGTTTCTAATATAGGGAAATTAAAGCATCTCAAAAGGTTGAAATGAACGTAGGTATATTAGGTTGCTGAAAATTATGGCTGGCGAACAACAAATTATCAGTGGAAAAAATATATAAATTTTAGAAGGCGCAATCTGAGTTGAAATTTCCGAGGCTCAGTTGAGAAGCAAAGTTTGTATTTTATCATTGGAAAACACTCCATGCACTCTCATCCTCTTTGTGTTTTGGAATGCATTGATGATGGTCAATCGGTGTTTTTCAGATGTATGAATAACGGCTGAGGAGCTTCAAACCATTCCAAATTAGACAATAATCTTGAATATATATAGTTGGTGTCTTTCCGAAAAATACGATACATACTTCACTTGTAAACTTGAGCCTTGGAAGTCCCAATTTAAACTGATTCTTGCCAAAATCTTTGAAACAAGTCTCATCATGAAATATATTTTAGGTTTCTTTTATTTAAGGCTGTTAGAGAATTACAGATCCGCAGTTCTGCGAATTTCCATTTACCATATTTTTTATCAGACAAAAAATTATTTTCTGTGTCAACTTACTCAATTTGGATTACAATTTAGATACTCTTAACCTATGGGTGACATTAAAATATGTTGAAAATCTGCAGGTATGCAAATACTAAAAAATTAAAGCGACTATTGTTTGTTTTGCGCTGTTTTTGCCAGAGATTAAAACCAATTTCTGCAAAAAAAAACAAGTAATGATTTTATAAGAAAGCAAAAAACAACCAGTGATTTTATAAGAAAGCGAAAAAGCTAAAAGATACCTGGTGTGGATAGAGCAAGTTGGATTATAATCGTGGCTAGTGTATCTCAGAGAATAAAAGCATTAGGATTGCAGTCACAAGAGAGTGAGACACTGGTTCTTAATCCGTACTTAAATGCTGCTGACGTTGAACCAGCAAAATAGGAAGCTAAAATTAGTTAGTGTCAATATTTGCATCGATGTAAACAACGAAATGAAAATCATGAAAATGAAATATAAGAATGGTGGTTTTTCTAAAGCAAAAACAAGTTAAAACTTAATGTAAAACGTTGCACACAAAAAAATTGATTACACTTTGTAGAGGTAATATTTGATTATGCATGATTTATTTTGTACTTGATTTTATAATTTAGGTTCGAAACCACTTTCTTACTATCGCACTGAAAAACAAAAAAATTACTCGCATGTAAGGTTTTGAGGAAAAATTAAATAGTTTGCAGTTTGTTATTTCACTACTATTTTAAGTTTTTTCAAATGGAGTATTGATTTACTTAGCTAGAGCATGAAATGCAGCGTTGGTAACTCGAAAATTTGAAAATCAAAATTTGAATTTTTCTGCGTTTACTTGTTGCGGGAGTTTTTCACTTGGCCTTCAAGTTATCACAATTTTTTTCATCTTCATTTTTATAAAACTTCTAAGCTAGCTTAAAATTCAACTAAAAACTTACAAGGAAAAAACTCGAAACAAAATTCAGCTCTTGTAATTGCTGGATGAAATAGTAAGTTAACATAAGTTATGGTTTGATAGGTTACGAATTAAATATGGGTTTATTACGCTGATTTCTGGTTTGAGAGCAAAAGTTTTTAGATAGTTTTTTTGCTCAACGTCGAAAAAATTGCGCTTCTATTTTACAACCGAATTCAGTACTAAAAAGTTTATGTATAATATCTTACGTACCATGTATGTCCAACCGTAAGTGTAGCAGAAAAACTTTCTGTTATAAATTCCATAACACTTCTGAACTATTGGGCGGAACAACACTAATAATGCTTGCGAACTTTGCCAGAAATACGAATCGAAAAAGTATGTATCAAAAAGCAAATTTTTAATTATAATCCAATAAATTATTCTGATTAGCTTTAATTATAAGAGAAAAAAGTAAATTCTGAAAAATGGAATCTGAGAGCTGAACTGATTGAGTTTTTGAAAGCGTTGCAGATTCAATAAAAGTGGCAGCCAATTCCGATCAGATAGCAGATTGTGTTCTGTGTGGGAATCGAATAGAATAAATATTACTTGCTGTAATTGATATAAAAGAGATGAGAGAAGAGTTTGAATTAGAGTGAACAGAATTCAAGTGGGCTCGGGGGAGTGGAGGTGGCGGCCAGTAATGGGCCATCCAATAAAAAAGGATACATGACACGGGGTAAGGATTAATGGTGGGATTGAAAGTCTAACCCCCACTCTAATCCAATTTGATGCCTCTGATGTCCTGCTATTTTCAATCTTCTCTCCTATCTGACGTCCAATTACCCCCCCCCCCCCCCCTTGCCTCACCCCAAACAACACCGCTACCACCAAGACCACCACCACCCCTTCTTAGCTCCTTCAATAGAAGCTGATATAATTTTAAGAATTTTTACAATGGGACGAGCTGTTTTCATAGTCCTAGAATCAGTTTCGAATTAAGATGTTGGAGCTTAGGGGTACGGTTCTTGTTACCATCTGCGGTAACCAGAACAATCATTTTTTTTCAAAAACGCAAAACTTCTGAGGATCTCTTTTTAAAATTGCGTTTCACAAAATAAATTTTAATTCATTTTTAATTTTTTATCAATTAAACATGGAAAAAATAATGTTTAGAAAAGTTTCTAAGACCTTATCCAAAAAGCAAAACTACTGATACGAAAAATAGTAACATGCATATTCGTTTTGCAATCCAAAAATTTCCGGATCGATACCCACACGCCGTCAACTCTCTTTCTAAAATTGTCTGAATATTGAAAAAAAACCAAGCATATATAATTCTCACTTTCTTCGAAAGGCGGAACAATAAAATAACTTAAAAACTGATAGAAAGGACTGGTGATTGTCGGAAATTTGGTCATATCGAATAAGGATGTCGGCGGAATGTTTTCACACAGAGTTCGAGGGAGAAAGAGTGGGGCGATTTGAGGGCACTTCTGTGCTGAGCGGAAGTTTACCAGGAGGCGGGATACAAAATCGGATCAAATATTTCCGCAATAAATTTTGAGCTCACCAACACAATAAATACATTTCTCCAGTTTTATTTACCCAAGTAAGAAGCAATGCATCAAAGTGAATAAAGAAAGTAATCGTGTGTTTGTTTCTACCAGCAAAAATGTTTTCACATCTTGATAAAAAATAGCGTATTTTTGCAAAAATGCTAATTATGAATAAAATTTAGCTGAGTTTTGATTAAACTGATCTGGTTAAAATTAAATTTTCTACTCAGGAAAAGTATAAAAGGCGGAGCTTGTGTAATTTTGTCGTTTTTTTTCTTCAGTTTATTTTTGCTGAGAGATTCACTTAAATACAGCTCATTCGAGTTTAATTGTATGGTTCTTAAAACATTTGTTGTTGATTCAAAACAGAAACAAAAGAGAACAAACCTGTCTGAAAATTTCAATTACAAAGAAGCCAATGTTTTCTTTTTGTAATTTCATTTATCGTTATATGCCCCACAAATTTGCCCTTTTAAAAAACTGAAAGCAACATTTATATGTGAATCACTTTCGAAGACCCTTAGAGAATTGTTTTTATCTCATCAGTATTAGTACCATTAGCTCACGCTTGTTCAAACCCTTTGAAACAACCGCCAAGTAATTTCCATTTCAAAATTGATATTTTCAGACATTTCCTAGCCCCTTGTTGCTTCACATTTCAAGCCAGCAATGCAATAAAAAGAAGGAAACGTGTCAAATTAGAATAATGTGTTATCTAGTAAGGCTGTGTCAGAAGCAGAAAAATTTTTTCAGAAGGAAATGAACATTTGAAAACTTTTAGGTCAATATTCCAAAACCCGATGCAGTTGAGAGAATTGTATCGGAAGTATTGGTTTTAGAAAAAGTAAGAGTACATGCCATCCGTAGTCGCACAAGAGTTTCATGGGAAATAATCGATCATAATAATCGTTTAATGGATTATATCGGCAAAAACTTAACCCATGAAATCGATTTTCATGACCCATTCAACCATTTGATTTTCATGGCCCATTCATGACCCATTCAATATTTAAAAACCATTTATAATTGACTTTTCTAGGCCACAAAAATCCATGAAAATCTTTTTTTTTATTTTCTTTTTTTCCTTTCTTTTCTCCTGGTGCTGTTGTTGAAGACTGGTGGTTGCGGATTTAAAGGGCGTTTGATGGGTGGACGGTTCATACCGCACCATTCCAAGCCACTGTCAGAAAATTGATTTTTCATGCCTTGACCCCCTAAAAGGTCCCCAAAATTTGACACCCTAATTGGACCCCAAAATTGACCCACAGTCTAAATCAAATTTTCGAAAGTAAAAAGAATTATGTACAAGAAAACGAAAGTTCTTTTTACGGAGGCGATGCAAAACTTCCCACCACTTGCGATACAACACAAACATAGCCAACAGACAGTTGGAATAGAGTCAATGCACGCAAGATAACAGAAAAAATGAATAATGACCATTTGATTTCTGAAAAAAATTAATCTACGAAGTTAAAAAATATAATTTTGACTCAGAGCTTTTCTCAAGAACCAATTATGATTGAAATTTTACAAAGCTCAATTTTACAAAGCTGGATCAGAAGACAGTTGTTTATTCCGCTTGGAAATCTAAGAATTAAAATCCTCTTTCAAAATTAGAAGTTCACCACCTTTTTTGTGATTTTCACACTTTTTCTCCTCAAAAGTGGAGTTCATTTGCTTTCCACAAAGGATACGAACTGAACTAACAAGCCAAGCCGGGAAGCATAAGTTTGAATGTGGTCAAATTTTAGGACCTTTGCGTGAAAAAAATTATCAACCTATATAAAATGCCGCTAAGCCGATAGATTAAAATCCGGACTCTTTCAAGCCGAATAAAAAGAAAAAAAAAAAAACATGATATGCTGAAATCAGAGTTGGTGAAAACAGACAGAGGCGAAACGGAGCTTTCCAATACAACGAAAACATAAAAAAACATCTCAAAAAATTTTTAAAAAATTTGAAAAAACTAGGTCTACAATGTTTAAATTTTTGTAAGTCTCGGTAGAAGTTCACTTTACGTAAAAATAACAGACATTTGAATATTGCATTAGCAAAAAAAGATAAAGAAAAATTAAGCACTTTTTGAGCAGACAAGCTGAGCAGAAAAAAAAGTTTAAAGTTTTCAGTCCAAGGAAGAACACTTGCATTGGTAACTTCAATAAAGTTTGTTTGAAAAACCAGAAAAAATTTGTTACAAGACAACTAAGCCGAGATTTTTTGAGCAGACACAAGGCCAGCAGATAAAAAAAGAATTCATGAAAACGCAGTAGGTGAAGCTGAGCTTCGCAATACTTGCGATACAAATATGAATGAATATGATTAAAATCAAACGGAAAAAACGAAAAAAGTTCAAAAAATCGTCTTTCCGAATAAAAACTGCAACAAAAGCTTAAAATACCTGAACAAAAATGTCTGCACGATTAGAAATTCTACAAAGATCTTTGGAAAATCTATGAAGAAGCCAAGTTATCCAAAAAAAATTTTCTGCCGTATTCGGTAGACAAAACTAAGCAGAAAAATCTAAACTAGCCGAAAATTTTTAAAGGTCGCAAATGGAATCGAGCTACCG